TTCAATTTGGCACCAAAATAACAGCAAATGTTACTGGCATAAAAAAAATGGTGGAAGCTTTCAAATTGCAAGTCATGGTGCAGACAAAACTAAATAGAGAAGGGACAAAACAAATGTCAAATTCTCAGTCAAATTTCTCAAAGAATTTCTGTAATACATGTGAACATCTTGTAGAAATTAAAGTAAATCAACAGAGGTCACTCGTTGTAAAATTTGGTTTGTGAAACAGGATGTGCTACACTTGTTCCATCAAGCAATAAACAAAAACACAAACAAGATGGGAAGGAATTTGCAACAGCCAAACAAGCTTCTAGCTAAAGGCAAAACAAACCTCACATGTTAAAGAAATGGGTGGGAAGGCTTGACACAAATGTGCCTTCTCATTGCTACCCGTGGCCAACACAAGTCACAAGCTGGATTTCCAAGTCTCAAAGTCACAAGTCACAAGCTGGATTTCTCTAAGGCTGAAAATGTATCAATTTGATACAAAAGTCCTAAATTTCCTAAGTGGTACAAAACCATGCCAAAACCCAAATGGTACAAAACCATTCCAAATCTTCTCATGGGCCATCTACCCTGCAAATTTCAATGAGATCAAATTTCAAATCTCTCAAAGGACAAATTCTTTCAAGGGGTCATTCATTCCTTGAAAGTCCAATCAAATTGTCTCATGTGAGGCTCATATGTGAATTTTGACAGAACATTGGATGAAATCATCTTAAATCTAACGATAGGGAGTGAAAAAAGCGAATTCATGTCGTTCAGGTGCTAAATTGGCTTTTTTTTAGGTCAGGGGGGGTAAGTTCGATCTATAAATTAATTGGGCTAACATCATTTTACCCCCTCAAGATTTGGGGTCATTCTTGAAATGGGCCACACGGTTTTAATTTTGTCAATTTATGCCCTAATATTTTAAAATTCAACCAATTTACACGTTACGTTAATTTGACCGCTTGGTCTTTTGTTAAGTGATGATGTGGCAAATGTGGGGTCCACTTTTTTAGCTTTGGTGTAATAAACTATGTAAAAAATAATATTAAAAAATTATTTACTTTTTATGTTAATTAAAAATATTAAAATCAATTATTTAAAACCAAAAAAAAAAAAAAAAATCAACATTCCAACCAGAACCCCCAAGTCGTCACCAACCCCACCACCAAACCTTCTCTTCTTGTCACACCCCAATTATTATTATTATTATTATTTGGGAATGTGAGGTAAAAGAAAAACTAAAACTAAAAATTTAATTATCAAGAAACATGAAGATTGAACGTAAACTTCCATTTAAGTCAAAGTAATTTACATTGTATTATTACAAGCAAAATAACAAGAAAGTAACAAACTTTCAACAAAACACTCAAAACTATCCATAATCCTTTCTTCTTGCCCTCGGCAAAAACTACACTTCAGTTTCAAAGCCTGCAATAGATTCAATAAGGGGTGAGCATTACATGCTCAGTAGGGGTCCTATGTCTTATGTGATTAGTGAGATTTATAATGTACAATTTATACAATGCATGAATGAACTTCAATTCTACCCAACCCGTTAATCTATATAATAGGGCAAGCAAATCTGCATGTCCCATACCATGCATTTTACCACTGTGATTCCGAATGCCCCATTATATAAACTAACACC